GTGAGTATAGACCAAATGTTTTCTTTAATCCCATTCAAGGAAGGTAAGCTGGTCGCTTCAAAGAGCAATTCCGGTTTGTTTAACTTGCAAGCAAACCAGTAGCCCGACTTGACAGAGTATTCCCCACTCTTATTGTGTTCCCAACACCAAAAATCATTCCGATTAACGACCGGTTTATGCTTAAGAATCCTCTCAATATCCTCAGGAAAGAACTGATCATGAAGGGTATTTAAATTCCAGCACCTGTTTGGGAAATCAATCAGATCACTGACCCACAAACCCGGGTTAAAAAAGAGTTGTCTCCTATACGGGGCTCTCTATTCTTGATCATATAACCAGAGATCCAACCAGACCCTCATAGAAGCCCCATTCCCCACCTGTTTCCTTAATCCCTGTCTCAGCAAGCTCCTATCCCAAACAATACTCCTCCACGCATAAGAGGGTCTGTCTCCTAAGCTAGCATCCAGAAAATTCTCCTCAGGGAAATATCTACTCTTGATGAACTTAGCTAACAGAGAATCCGGCTCCTGTAAGATCTTCCAGGCCTGTTTTGCTAACAGTGCTTGATTGAAACACTCCATGTCCTTGAAACCTAAACCACCATTAGCCTTTGACAAACACATTTTTTCCCAACTCACCCAATGCATCTGTCTTTTGTGTTCAAAGGAGCTCCACCAAAAATCAGACATTGCACTAGTAATATTAGATATGGTTGTCTTAGTCAATTTAAAACAGGACATAGCATACACCGGCAACGCCATTGCAACTGCTTTCAGTAACACTTCTTTACCTCCCAAGGATAGAGATCTAGCAAACCACCCACTTAACCTTGTCTTCAACCTGTCTTTAATGAAACTAAAGAGCTCAACTTTGGATCCACTGAAACATTCTGGCAGTCCAAGGTAAGTACCAGCCCCTCCTTCATCAAAAATCCCAAAGACGTTTTGCAGATTTATCTTCTTCTGTTCCTCAACTCTGCTCCCAAAAGTAATCGAAGATTTTTGGAGATTAATGGTTTGACTTGTTGCTTCTCCATAAATCTTCAGAATATCTTTCAGGACAGCACCTTGCTCTTCCTCAGCTCTACAAATGAAAAGGCTATCATCGGCGAAAAGTAAGTGATTAATAGCCGGACCATTTGTAGAGAAGGAAACACCATTAATCAGATCTTGAGATTGGGCTCTATTCATGAGATGTGTGAGACCTTCTGTACATAACACAAAGAGAAAAGGGGATAAGGGATCCCCTTGTCTCAAACCTCTATCAGGCGATATCATCCCATACGGCTTATCGTTTATCAACACCGCATATGTCACAGTAGACACACAATACATCACCCACTGCACCCATTTAGGGTGAAACCCAAGCGCATTCAACAAAGCTCTCAAGTAGGACCACTCCACTCTGTCATAGGCTTTTGACATATCCGATTTGATAGCCATAAACTCAGATGAAATAGTTCTATGCGTTCTCAGCCCATGGACCACCTCATGCGCGATAATAATATTATCTGATATCAATCTCTCCGGGACAAAAGCGGACTGATTTGGAGAGACAATATCATTGAGCCACGGCTTCAACCTCCTCACCAAAATCTTAGATATGATTTTGTATAAAACTGAACAGAGGCTGATAGGTCTAAAGTCCGCCATATGTTCAGAAATCACCTTCTTAGGCAACAGGCACAGCTGAGTATAATTCCACTCCTTTGGAAAAATTCCAGTCACAAAAAACTGCTGAACCTCCTTAGTAACATTAGCACCAACCAGATCCCAATATTTCTGAAAAAAGAAGCCTGTAAAGCCATCAGCACCCCGTGCACTCGATGCTCTAATCGCAAACACAGCCTCTTTGATCTCCTCTTTTGTCACATTCCCTACCAGATCCTTATTCATCGCCTCATTCACTCTTGGAGAGAAGTCATGAAACACTTCCTGGAAAGTACCAGGATCTGTGGAAGTAAAAAGGTTCCTGAAATAAGCCTCTGCAACTGCTCCCATAGAAGCACTTGATTTTTGAGGATTACCATTGATGTCATACAACACCTCCACACAGTTCTTCCTTCTTGTAGACTTGACTGAATCATGGCAAAATTGGGTATTTTTATCCCCTCCATCAACCCATTTCTCCTTGGACTTTTGTCTTCAGAAAATCTCTTCCTCTCTATACGCTCTGCACAGACTCCTTTTCAGATTATTAACTCTCCACCCAATTGGACAATTAGCCGATTGTGCAGCCTCCAACTCCACCTGTAACTGACCAATCAGGGTTGAAGAATTTGTGATGTTTTCTTTCTTCCATCTGCTCAACGCTTTCCTGCAATTTACCAGTTTATCAGACACCAGCGCCTCTCTTCAAAGATTATTAAAGTTCCACGCCTGGGCAATCGCTTCTTTAACCATCGGTTTGTTGAAAAATCTTTTGTCAAATCTGAAACTGCCCATGTAGGTCTCTTTGGACGTGGTCAAACTAACCAGTACGGGTCTGTGATCTGATCCTCTTTTATCAAGGAAGGTTTGATTCGCCACAGGGAACATGGACAACCATGCTTTATTCCCAAAACATCTGTCTAACTTGCATTGGATCCAAGACTGATTCCTCATGCCACCCCAAGTGAAACTATTACCTTTACTTGGAAGCTCAAACATCTGACAAGCCGATAGCATGTCTTTAAAAGGAGTGAAAGAAGCATCTCCTCTCAAAGGACCTCCAAGCTTCTCTCCATTATGAATGATCTCATTAAAATCACTCATCATGCACCACTTCTCCTTCCTACTAATCCCAATCCTTGACAGGCGCTCCCAAACTTTAGCCCTACCACTCTAATTTGGATCCCCATACACACAAGTAACATAATATTCCACTGCTCCAAATTGCACAAAGAAATCAAGCAGATTCTTATCTACAAAATTAAACTCCACTTTGACTCCTTTCTTCCAGAACAACGCAAGCCCTCCACTCAAACCAACTGGGTTTACTGTATATACTCTTTCATAACCCAGCCACTCTTGCAAATCAACCAGAACATTACTACAATTTTTAGTCTCCATTAAAAACAGAATCTCCGGGAAAAGTTCTTTACGCATCTCCTTGAGACGAGGAATCGTCAGTTCTTGGAACCATCCCAAGCCCTGGCAATTCCAGCTAATCATTGTCATTACAGACTGGACGGTCCCTCTTTTGGGACCACCTCTTGGTTTTTGCGCTTAGCGACTTTTGATGTAGACTTAGCCTCATCCTCAACTTTCCTCTTTGAACCACTGACCCCAAGGGATTCTGAAGTCGTCTCTTCGCAGTCCCCATGAACAGCACCTTTACTCAGTTTTCCTCCCCTTCTTCTTGACTTGAAAGGCCTTTTCCTAGGTTTACCATTCTTTAGAAACACCCCGGAAAGACCAGTTTCAGAGAAACCAGTCTTAAATACCGTTGAGTATTCAGAAGAATAAAACCTAGTGTTTGAATCAAGAGACCCTACACCTTCATTCTGCTGACTGCCCAAGAACGATGAATCCATTCTCATTGTCTGCCCTTCTTTCATCTTACTTCCCCCTGGTTTTAACATAGCATCCTTCCACCTCTCTTCTTTATCATTCAGCGATAAATTTTCATACTCAAAAACAATCCCTTTCCCTTTTTGTAGGTCATTAGATACCACCGGAGGAGTCTCTAATCTCAGCATAGTTTTCTCCCCAATTGGATCATTCTTGAGGTCCAAAAGAGACTGTTTGATTCTTGCTTCCCTAGCTATCCTCTCAGCTCCATCCGCAACCATAAGGTACTGCCTCATACCATCTATCACTTC